ACTAGATGATGGTGTGAACCCATATCTGCTCGATTTTGTGTCCAGCAAGCCACATTTCCACTTTCTTGAGCGACATTGAGATAATAATATATATTTCTTCCTGTTTATGCAGGAACATACCAATTGTACAGGCATGAATAAGTTATTATATAAATTACACATAATTTCATGTATAATAAATTTACAGTTTGGTTGTTTTTTCTGGTATTAGAGTCAGTCGGAGCAGTCTGCTATGAAGTCTGTTTTTGTAGCACTTACAGAAATATAGAAATATTGTCTTCGCATTAACAAAAAACCCAGACATCAGATGAATGCAATAAAAATATCTGAAGTCTATCTGTTTTGTGGTCTGTCCGTCAGGCGAAATCTATGTTGCTTGTACACGCTGTCTCGCCTCTGATCACCAAATCATTGAAACAGCGGAAATCCGCGAATAGTCCCCTATTCTCATTCATTTCGCTTAGTGAGAGCCTCTCGACCCATGCTGGGTTCTCTTCCTGTATTATCTGCTCCCAGTTTCGCTTGCATTCATATGGTCCATAAAGACTTTGACTTCGCCATTCAGGAGGCTTTCCATTACTGTTTTTATTTGTCTACAAAAGTCTTCCTTCGTCTCTTGTTCCGCGTTGTTTGTAGCACTGTGTGTAGCATTGCATAATTGTGACCTTCCTTCTTTTTGAGTTGAATCTGGCTGTTATAATCCTGGATGAAATCGGTTCCCACTGCATCAGGGCTTTGGCTGCCACTGGTCATATCATGACAGGCATTTACCGTTTTTGTGTGTTCGTAGTTGTTGTCTGGATAACGGGAGTAGATTTCGACTCACTAGACAATTTCGACAGTCCGCATCCATTCCATCTAATCTAGCAGATACCTAGCACTTCTATACTATATCTTCTCATTTCTTTGGCTACCTGGAAGGCTTCCCTAACCTCGTGCATTCCACGTCCCCTTTCTTCTTCTCGCTATCACCAGGAGAGGACACATAGGCTGGCTGACTGGCTTCCTGAAAGTTGGCTTTCACCAGCCCACTGCGTCCATTTTCCTCTCCAATTCCAAAGAAGAATAAGTTTCTTATATTTTTAATATTTTTTCTAGTGTGTTGAAGTATCTGTAGCATTTTGATTGGTTTTCTTGGGTAGAATCGCTAGCTTCCCACCCAAAACTCCCCCGTCTTTACCAAGGCTTGGGAACGGATAGTAGACTCGGCGAGGTTCTTCATTCCTTTAAAAATCATACCTTTTAATATATATTTCTACATAAGTATGGATACAAAAAGATGCATTTAACCGATCCAAAGTTTGCAGAAGAAAGAAGAGGTTGGGGTTGGTATTGCTTGGCGATCTTGCCAGGAGAATAATTACTGATTACGCATTTGAGGCTGCTGAAAGTCTTGTAGAAAATGTGGAGGCTTAGGATTTCTGCATTTTCGGAAGGCACCTGAATGCCGGATGTTTTTGAGTATTTGGGCCCAATCCTAATACATGACATTTTACCTACTCCATTGTACGCTAACTTCCCCAGGTTGTTCACAAGTATTTATATCTTATGTCATTCACGTTGCCACCATAAATTGTGTAACGAATGGAAAACACAGCTCATACAGTATCTACTACCCACATCTGCTCCTCTCCTTGACCTTGTGTCCAGTAGGCTCCGTCTCCACTTTCTTGAAATTGAGATGAAGTCTATTTGGTTCTTGGTGTTTCCATCTGGTGAAATCCATGTCACCTTGTGTATATCCTTGTGTTTGAACACACTACCACCAATCACCAAATCATTGAAGGCGCAGAAGTCTGAGAAGAGTTCACCATTGTCGTTCATTTCGCCGAGGGCCTCACGACCCATGGTGAGTTCTCTTCCTGTGTTGTCTCCTCTCAGCTTCGCATTCATGTCGCCCATCAGGATTTTGATATCGCCATCTGGGACGTTGTCCACTATTGCTTGTCGTTGTCTGTAGAACGCCTCCGTCTTCTCTTGTTCTGAGACGTTTGTAGGCGCATAGCATTGAATGACTGTAACTTTCCTTCCTTTTGAGTTGAACCTGGCTGTCATTATCCTGGAGGAGATTGGTTCCCACTGCATGAGAGCTTTGGCTGCTGTTGGTGACATCATGATGGCCACTCCCTCGGTGTGCTCGTGATTGTCCTCTGGGCGGCCGGAAAAGATTACTGTCTCTCCAGTAGGTAGTTGGCACCTTCTAGTTCCGTTCCATCTGCTTTCGCAGATTCCCAACACTTCTATTCTGTACCTTCTCATTTCAGCGGCTATCTGGGCAGCCTTTCCAGTTTCGTACATTGCACGAACGTTCCAGGTACCCATCCTTACTTTTGCTTTCATCGAAAGAAGGCACATCGGCTGACTGGCTTCCCGAAGGCTTTCACCAGCCTGCGTCATTTCACTTCCCCGATTCCGGCGAGAAGTGAGGCTATTGCTTATGTTTTTAGAATTTTTAACATATTTATTCGTTGAAATTTCTGCAGCGATTTGGTTGTTTTACAGGGGTTGAGTTGCTAGCATCACGCCCCAATCCTCCCTCTTTACCCGGGCTTGGGACCGGCGAGAAAACTGGTAAGCTAGTAGCCTAGCAAGCTGGTACCTGGCGAGGTTGCAGTAAATACCGTTAAATATAAATGCATTGCCCGACTCTCAGTTCCATTTTACGATTTCATCCCAGTGCCTCACACCTCGGCCAAATGAGTTGTTATTATTTTTAATTAGTTTAATTTCATTTATGTCAGTCGTAGTTTATGTGAATCATAGGTAAATGTAGTCATCATAAACAAAGTTGGTTGGGTGTACTAGTGTCACAGTTTGATTTAACATTCCTACACCGTCCCCCTTGAAGTAGGCTACTTATGAGGTAATACATTTTTAATTCACTGATGCGCTATCCCTTTCAGATTGTATGAGTAAATACAGTATCGCACTTACTCAAGGAAAAAATTTAGCAGTGATCTGCAGGATCTCCTGGCTTCTTGAAACTTATTGTACGTAGCCAAAACAATTGGCAACCTGGATGTGAGCAGGAATTCTCGCCGTTTGGACTGGAGGATGTAAAATCGCGAAGTGATTTTTGAAACAGATTGATCGCTATATAACTCCACTATTTCTCCAGATGACTTTCAAAAAGTAATTGCCAAACACAGAACACCGCAAGGAACTTATAGCATAGCCTATTGCAGACAATTCTCCAAATCAACTGTTGTGCGCACGGAGAAAAGACAACCAACTTAAAAATTGTTTGGTATTTTACTTATTTTCTGAAGCACCAAAAACAACACCTTCGTTGATGAAGTCTGTCCATCGGAATTGATGGATGAGCAGTTTGACGTTTTCGACGACCCATATTATGCAGATCCGGCTTTGAAAAGGAATATAAAGCATGACAGTTGTAAAACCCATCAAAATTATGAAGTAGCTTCGATTCCACGTCAAAGATTAGTTTACATTTGATTGCTACTACAAATGCCCCAGTTACGTAGGTTATATCCGCCTTGATAATCATTCGTTTTCAGTCACCCAAGGACATAGGCGCACTTCAAGAAATCGTTGATACCATGAAAGAGATAAAAAGTGCAGTTCCGCCTTACAGTTTTGTTTGTCCTGTGATTATTAAACAGCTTCTACAGGCATAACTTGTGAAGTGCAAACTAAAGTACTTCAGCGTCTCAACTCGATACTCTCCTCTTGGACAGCAGTACGTTATGGAGTGCCAAAAGGCGCGGTACTCAGACTTCTCCAATTTATTTTGTATACCAATGAGTTATCTCTGCTCACCAACTCCCCTATGGTCCTATACGCAGATGACTTAAAAATCTGGAGAGAGATGAAGAGCAACAGTGACACATCCAGTTTGCAAGAGGACCTCTACAAATTTTTAGAGCAGTCCATTGGATGGATGCTTCTGATCAATGTGGCAAAATGTGCAACCATGCGCATCGACAAGCAAGCACCAGCTCCTACGAACTAGAGGGAATGACTCTCCCATCAGTTCAGACTCACTTGGATTTAGATTTCATAGTTAGCCACGATTTGAAAACTACAGCATACTGTTGCGCGGTGGCTACACGTAGTTTCACGTCCTTATGGGCAATCTGCAGACCTTTACTAGAATCACCAGAGATATGTTCGCCTCCTAATATACATCTCTGGTGAGGTCAAGACGGGTAAACTGTATCCAGGCAACCATTCCTTGTCTAAAAGGGGACTCACACGTTCTAGAAGGGGTTCAAAGAAGGCAACAGGTATAGTTCTCAGTATGGCCAATGTATCATATAAGGAAAGACTAAACAGTTTAAATCTCCTCTCGCTGTTATACCGTAAGCAGAGGAGGGATTTAATTACATTGTTTGAAACTTTTAATAATGACTATGGACCTGACCTATTCTCTCCTTTCCTTCCCATCAGGAACGCCTTAGAGGATATATTGGGATAGAAGAAGTCATACTGATGTTAAGTACTAGTTCTCACATTGAGTCGTAGACTCTTAGAACAAACTCCCAGAAGAAGTGGTGTATGGAACCTCAATTGATTCATTCAGAAAGGGTTTGAACAACCGCAGAATGTACTAGGAAATGATTAACATAGGCTATAAGCCTACTATCCTCAACCAATGAGTCTGAATCTAACCGGTACGTTCAACGGTGGCGTTACATTTAGATTGATCGCTATATATTTCTATCTTTGCTGTGAGACTCGCAAAAGTGTTTCTCCAGTTCTATAATTGTAACCAATAACTTTTTCACTAATTAGTTATGGTAAATCATATAAAGAAGCCACGAACTCAGTCACCTGTTAACCTGATGACTGATAGCACTTATATGCTAGCATATAAGTGTTGCAAGCTTGCAACAACGAGCAACACAACTCCCACAAAATATGGAAGTGACACGCACAGCTTGCAAATACGTCACAAGCGTCGAGCTGCTGTTCCACTGCCATCTACTGTGGCTGGAATTCCAGCCACAGTAGATGGCTATCACTTAAGTGATAGCAAAATATGTTGACAACTAGTTGTAGCGTTGCTTCTACAAACTCGACGCGTGAACATGCATGACCAGCTAGCAACGATTTCGGGAGCAATGCAAATAATTTGGGACAGACGTAGGGCGCGATGCAGAATGTTTGGAGTAGATTTCGGGCGCTTCGCAGAATGGTTGAGGCAGGCTTAGAGGCATTGTCTCACGTAAGTCTATGCACCCGAAGTTTTTTGCCCCAACAACTCTGCAGTGCGCCCGAAAATAATGCTAGCTGGGTGACATAGACCTCTTCGCTTCATTTTATTTACGTGTCACAAAACCTCAGATGCCAAGTCCAGGTTCAACGACTAAAGCTGCTGTAGAAAAGCTGAAGACAGGTGAGGGATATAAGGTGTAGTAAGTCTGTGAATGCAGGATGTTCAGAAAATTTGACCAGCATATCTGAACTATCAACACAGATTAGTGACATAAAATCACAGGTCTACGAATTTGCACCTCTGAACATCCTGACCGGGACCGTAAACCCTGGAGAACTTGACACAGAATCAGTAACTAAGGTAGACACCTTCATAAACTTCATCACAACAGAGGTTGTCAAAAAACTAGATACAAAGCCAAGTGTTATAGTCTACCATATACCGGATAATGAGGCGAAAATGCCTATTTGCTAAACAAAATGTCATAGACTGAAAGAGTCAGCACGACTACTACTGCCCCATACGCCTTCAGTTATAAACACAGACAGAGGCTAAAGAATTCACCAATACACATCGTATCCTGTTATAGGACATGAGCTACAAAAAAATAAAAGTTGTAGCAGTTAGGGCAGTGATTGAAAGGTGTGCTTAGAATCACCTCACTAGACCTAATAGCAAGACACCTCAATTCACCAAAATAGATAAACACACAGCCAACACGGTAGAACTCATAGCCTCCTCCCTCTCAAATCTCACAAAAATAGCTCCACAGAACACGACACCAACTGAAAGACTTGCGAACTATAATCTTACTAATAAATTAGCCCCCTCACCCTTTGCCGTGGATCTAGATATGTCTCTGGATAGCCCGAAGACAAATCAATCCTTCTTGTAAGTCGACAACATCCTCTCCTAGCCAAAACGTGAGAATTCAATTGGAATCCGGTAACAAAGCATGCTGAAATACGAAAAATCCCCAACATTTTCAAACTCCTAAGAAGAATCCACGTTATAAGGTGAATAATAGTCAGTACTATGCTAACATCCAAATTAAAAACACAAATGGGGACATAGGATCCACAGAAAATAACGACACAACTTGCTTGCGTACTATGTCAAGTCACACTAGTGGCTGGTGTAGTGACACTATCACCCAAAAAGTACAAGTGGCAACGTTCAGAGCTCAGCCAACAACCACTCCGGGTCTTCAAAGTACGACACAAACAAACTTCGACAGAATATACGGAACAAGTCTTCTGAGAATCAAACCACAGTGCAGCAATGCATACAGCGAAACCCATGTCCAAACATGGGCATCACAAGGTACGAGTGATTTTTTATACAACACATCCCCGTCAGCGCTAACCAAACAACTGGTGGGGACGTTAACTCTTCTGAAACCGTACCACCAATGTTGGCTCCATAGACTCAGGCTAGTGCACACGGAATTAGTCATCATCCAATGCCTGTACATGCATAGGCTAAGTAAGAACTTCTACCCAAGTCTCCAACCTACCCAAGCCTAGAACTACCTCATCCTATAGTGAATCCAATAATAAAACTCATTATTCACTAAAATAAATAGATAGTAACTCGATAGACATAGGTGAACATGGTACCCGCACTAATTGCAACACAGGGTTGTTATGCCATGCGGAACCAGTGGATGTCGATCCACACTTGAGCCTGACTGACGAGGTTAAATACTTCAAACACTACTTCAACTCCCAAATTTACTTTATTCTTATTATTGCTAGATCTACCCTAAGCAAACTACCGATGCTCAGGGTACACACGCTGGTATATAAACCCCCAATAATCATTATTACTGAATTCTGGTGTCACTCCAATATGCCAGACGAATAGATAAGCATCGATGGGTATACACACTTTCGATGTGATAGGAACAGTGGTAAGGGAGGAGGCTGCCTAATGTAATTCCTGGACACGCTTGCTGTATTACAGCTAGAAAATAGGTAACTCAACGACATGCACGACACCCTATGGGTCAACGTACACTTCAAAAGTGCTACACTACTAATAAGATGTATCTACAAAGCACCTAGCACCTTTAGTGACCCCGAGACGCAACTCCTCAATGTACTGGAACAAGTACCCACTCTTCCATACGACCATAAGATTATATGTGGAGACTTCAACCTACCCGAAATCAACTGGGATTTATTAACAGGCCCAGCTAAGTATGACAAGCTCTTAGGTACACTGGACATTTTCGGCTGAAAACAAACTGTCAATATCCCTGCAAGAGGTGACAACTTACTGGACTTAATATTCTGTCACGATATAAGTCCCCTGTCAATCTTAGTGGATTCTAAGTTTCCAGGTGGTGACCAAAAAACATTGATGTGTGCACTCCCGCTTCCACTGAGTAGCAATGCAGCTCATACCTCCACTTCACAACAAATAATACATAGGGACTATGTATTATTTGCTAAGTTAAACTGGGCTTTTGTAGAATCAATGCTAAGATCCTCTGAATGGGGCGAATACTTGACTACTGATGACCTCTCGAGAGCTCTGAGCACATTTACTAGAACTCAAACATATGTTTGGATGCTGCCATTTCACTCCAAACACCTAAGGTTCGGAGAGGAAAATATCAGTGAAAGGGTGGTTTGGGGCGACAGCATGATCATCCCCCGAAAGTCTATCGCGATAGAAGCTAACTTGGCGGTATATTATTTGGATGGCTGTTTGAGATATTCCTCTTGATTTAACAACAGAGGACCGAAAGGTCGTGTTAGTGGCATAGTTCTGACTCTGAGTGAAGTGTGGTTATTTCCATTAGTTTTGATAGCAGCTAGAGAAAGGTATGGCTGAGGAAAGTAACCAAAGGCCGTGTTCATTGCCAAGAGTGTTAAGAACCAGTGAGCTATAATTCTGGTATGGAACGGGCACAGGAAGGTATAAACTGGTTTGAGAAACAGGTGGATCATCTTCATATAGTTAGATAATATTGGAATATTTTTACTCTCTTGAAGTCCACGTGAAGTATGCCGGAACAAAATGTATGTGAATCTGTAGTTATTGCTTTAAATGATATTCGCAATTTACAATTCACACAGTTCGAGGTGAAATTCCACCAGTTTTCTTTGAAAACCGGAAGTTATTCAGATCACAACGAATGTGATAGCTGCTTTGATAGCATAAGTGGCAATCAAATAAGCAAGATGAAATTTCGCCTCGAACGGTGTAGAATGCAAATTGCGAATTTAATTCATTTTCGTCCTTATGTAAGCAGCCAAAACTTGGTGGTTGGTTTGCACTGATTCAACTCTCTGAGCTGAGCCAATCCATGTCCACCGCAGATAAGCTGTGTCGTAAATTAGCGGGACCGCCGTCTGGTGTTTAGATCAGATTTCAGTAGTATCTGACTATTCATGTCAATTAAATCCATAGTATATAGTATTGTGGTGAGAGCTGTCTGTTAGCCAAAACTGGTAGACAGCAATTTACGTCAATGTTTACGTCGCAAATCTTGATCATGAGAAAAAACAAGGACAAGGATTAACCTTGAGGAACTCAACAGACTTAGAGTGGGCGGATACGATTAGCAGATATATCAACGGACTGTCTAAGAAACGGTGACAAAAAGATGACAGAATGACCTTCAGCAGGAAAACAATCAATCAGAAAACTTGGCTTCTCGGCTAACAGTAACAAATAATGATGTACATGAAAATCTTTAAATACCTGTTGATTTTCTCAATAAACGATCTGTTGCCTGGCCCTTGTCTTCTGTCGTTACAGTATCATATGTATCTCCTTGTTCTGAAAGCAGTGTGTAGGGTGGACAATTATTTTCATAGGTATATCATAATGGTCTCTCACATATATTCAAGCTTCTAGCTTACAGACACTTTATTTATTTTACTTGATATCATTCACTTTCAGATAAGTTTCTTACCTTGCATTTATTGATTTTCACGTATCTTTTTTCTCTTCTAGACAATATTGATGGAAGACGTGTGAATAATTGTCATTTTTTTCCAAAATGTTCCCTAAGGGTATACAATTTGCTAACAAACCTTGGGAGTGTGCAGTTACAAAGTTCCATCAGGTAGATTTCGTACTTTACTAAACACTTCTTAAAAAAACCTCAATAAAAACGTTAAGTTTTACGATTACTATCCTACATCTGTCATTCCTTTAAATGGCTTTTATGATGTGCCAGGATTAATAAAACTGTGGGAAACTTTTATCAATGATTTAAAATCTGCTATTATGATAGAACCATTCAACGCATACCAGTTGATTAATGCCTTTTTAAGTGTAAGTTTTCATCTATATAGGATTATTATTAAGCCCTTTTATTTTTTCTAGAAAGAGTTCATTGAAAGTGATATTGACTCTTACACATGTTTGTCGTCTCTTTTATCAGCCAAGTGTTTTAATAAGCACAATGAATTAGACATACATACACTTGGTCTGCTGATTTCTGTTATAAAGGTTGGTTTGTGAAAATATTTAAAAGGAATTATTAGTATTTGTCTTGTTTTACTGTAGGAAAAGTTTGATTCTATTAGTATTCGACGTTGCTTTCCGCATATCTTCCACCCTTTACTTTTTTCAAAACTAAATATCTCAGAAGGTAAAGTGATGTTTTTTTCCGCTTTCAGAATATTGACTTCATGATACCAACTAGTGTATTGATTAGTTCTATTTTGGTTTCAATTTTTTGTTTCAAATTGTTTTATTCCTTCACGTTCCCAGTGGAACATAGGGCTTCAAGCTAGTGACTTGAAGTTTCTGTAGCATTGGCGTTTTGTTTTTATGGGTTGGGGTTGCTAGCCCCATGCCCAACCTTCCCTCTTTACCAGTCTTATTACTGGCTTGGCGAGGTGAGGGAGTGCATCAGTGGCCGCGGATCGAACCCCGGACTTGGTCGGCAAGCATTCAACCGCTGTGCCACCAACGCGTCTGGTTTTAAGCGTCCATCTAATAAGAGAAAGCGCAATCTGAGAAATTATGTGTTTGTAGTAAATTTTCAAATAATTCTGTGTATTATATATGTCCAAACCAAGTTCAATTTTAACAGTTTGAAAAAAATTTGGACTTTTGGTATATGATATTAATTATAATAATATAGGTTTTTTGTATTTCCTAATGAATGAGAAACAAAACGATGTTGTTTTTACTGACGTTTCGCTATTTAATGCTAATAGCTTTCTCAAAGTATTAGTAAACCAGAATTTACAAAATCCACTCAGCTTATATATAACAACTTAATCATCGTTCCTCAGCATGGGAATATTTTTGTGTTGTCAAATCGGCCAATTGGTAAAGATAATAAAACCAGGTGTAGATAATTTTTGGATTTGATAAGTGTGTAAAATTATAAAAGCAGCGTGTGTTTACACAATGAAATTGCTTATCAGTCACATACTTGTTGATTTTGTCATATCATGGGCGAGCAGGGGGTGTGTTGTAACCAGGTCAAATTTTGTTTTAGTCCACCATTCCTATTCAGACAATTTGGAATCCATTTCATATGAAGTGCTTCTGATATTAGACGTTCTTTGTGATTTCTGAAATGCTTTTTCTGGATGATTTCAAAATTGTGAAAATCAATTTTGTGGCCTGATTCTGTAGCATGTAAACCTATGACTGGCTGATGATTTTTCAAGCTTTTCTAGTTCAGGTGGATTTCTCGATGGTCTAACAGATGCGGCTCTACAGTGTTCATTTCTTCTGATTCTGATTTCTCGAGATGTTTGTCCGATGTAGATCACATCACATTCCAAGCACTTTAATTTATAAACACAATTATATGGGGAATCTTTAGCGACTTGATCTTTTATATGGACAAAGTTGTTTCTCAGTGTGTCTTAGGTTGAAGTGTGGTTCCCTTTTCATTTGGACAAACAAATAAACCTTATATAGATAGGAAACAGAATCTCTGCGTATTGGTCCAAGTTTTAACTCGCCACATGGTATCAAAATAAAATACTTCAAGTTGGAAGTGATATCAGAAGTTGTCGGGAGTCATAAGCTACAAAGGGGAGGCAATAAATCAAATGAAGATATATAGTAATGTGTACAGTTTTATACACTAATAATATATCTTCGAAGACGTAATAGATTTTTATTTTTTTTATTTTTTATTTACAGCTTGAATTCCACACTGCATTTTTGGTACAAGTATGGAATTTTCAGCACGGATGTCGGTAGCCCAAATTTTGCAGGCCGACCATAGATATCAGGTGTGCGTCGGCAGGGGATCGAACCCCGGACCATGTGCATGGTCGGCGAGAGTCCTAACCACTGTGCCACCGACGCACATATCCGGAGTTGTGACGCATCGGTTTCGGTTACCTAGTGAATTTCATCGAGTTGTGTGACATTTTATTTTCTTGAGAATGGTGTAATTATATTCATTTAGGGTTCAGTGTTTTATAAAAATATCAGTACAAAACGTTGGTAATCTCTTATCCAAAGGTCTGACTAACCTGAAGGACTTAGCCATTTTAGTCAAAAAAAGGGGGGGGAGTTACTAATTGTTTCGAATTAAATAACACGGTACATAAAAGTGGAAGTCGTTTGATGATGAATGTTTCTGCTTTCAAGTTTGTATGATGATTGATATATTGTTAGCTGAGGTGCGCTAGTGGTTAAATAAGAGAATTTTTGTCAGTTACTCACTTGATGATATTAGATTGTTGGAGGCAATCGGCAGGATGCCTTGGATCTAGGTTTCGTACTAGTTGGCACTCACCAGTCAGCAAGGCGTATCTGCAACCTTGAAGGAACTCATGTCCCTTCTGAGATTTGAACCCACGTCACCCAGTGCTGTAGTCAGTCAGAGACGTTACCACTGAGCTATTCGGGCTCATGATTGACCTCCTGTAGGACTGTATAGTGGGTAGTTTGATTGGACACTAGTAACTAGTGTGAGGACGAGCAGTGTTAGCGGATATGTGGTCAGGCTGGAAAAAAGCTAGTGGAGGTCAAACCAAAACATGGCACCAGTCAATGAAATCTACAACAATTAATCTAAGCCACGTAGGGAGGTGTAGACTTCCATTTTGGGGTTGGAAACAATTAGTGACATGGCTCAAAATCGTTGTCAGTGGCGCGGATGCATCCACTCCTTGTGACTTATGATTTCCAATGAAACTGTTTTGTTCTTCGTTATTACTATTCCTTTGTCTCACACTTCTGTTTATTATCTCTAATATGCATTTCTTCTACCTTCTTCTGTTGCTTTGTGTGGTACATGGAGTGGAGTGTGGCGACTTGAACTACCGCACATGTGTGCAAAGTTCTATATCGAAAACAGACAGACAGTGTGACGTGTCTAGTGCTTTCTTTGGTGCAGACTGATGGCGAGCTACCTGGGATGGTGGCCACATTGCAAACCTGACTGATAGCATTCAGTCTGCACCAAAAAAAGTACTAGACACGTCACACTAGTTACTAGTGTCCAATCAAACTACTCACTTGGTTTAGGTTCACTTCCCAGTCGACGAACTCTTAAACCTCACCTATCCCGTAGTAAACCCAGGAAGAAAGGAAGGTTGAGCGTTTGGACAATAATCCTATCCGGTGATAACAACTCAGGTGTTGCTGAAACTTCAAATCTGAAATCTTGAGGTCCTATATTTGATTTGAGGCGCAAATAGGTGAGAAAAATCGTTAGACTGCATTTTTGCATTTCACATTTTAAACACTAGTGGATTCCTAATGTAATGCCTAACGATCTTCCGCTCTATAAAAGGTTAGGTTTACTACGAATGAACTATACTCTGACGATCTTTACGCTTACACTTGTGAAAGACAATTACCATATTACAAGGTAAAGTGGTGTAGAAAGAATGGGGGTGGTTGATTCACTCTAGACCGAATAGTGGAGATGTGACTTATTGGCTTAAGTACTTAACTTCTAGCCACTAGTTCCCAGGTTCGAATCCCACTCCACCTATTTGTGTTTCAGCGACTAGGCAGTTGTATGTACGTGTGTGTGTGTGACTCAGCCTGGAACATCCGTTCTCGGTAACTGATTCCATAAGAGACTAATTAATTTCAGTTAAATGTTAAATGACAAAGCAAATTAATGTCATATATAGAATAATTCATAGGATGGATAGAACTTGAGAAAGGGTGTGGAATTATAGGATTAGTAGACAAATGGAATAAAATAAAAACGTTACGTATTATTGTGTGAAATTTGATGGCATAGAATTTAACTTTGTAAAAAAGAATTGATTTAGAATGACAAGTGGAACAAGTGAAATAATACCGGGGACAGTTCAAAGCGAGAGTAGTAATAGTAACAATTGATGTAATAAAGGAAGGGTATACAAATTGAATAGACACAATGCAAAAATGAAGCTTTGGCTATCGAAACAGAAAAGCCAGATCTCTGTGTACAGAAAAAGTTTGTTCAACCCCTCCAACTTTCATGGTGTTAATCCTTCTATGCTAAAGTATGGTAATCCCCAATCATATTTTAGCTCTACCGATTTTTCATTTTTTTCATTTTGTCTATTCAATTTGTATTCTCTTCCTTATAACTTCAATTGTTACTATTACTATTCTCACTATGAACTGTTCCCGGGATTATTTCACTTGTCATTGTAAATTAATTCTTTTTTTACAATGTTAAATTCTATGTTATTAAATTTCACACAATATTACGTAACGTTTTTATTTTATTCCATTTGTCTACTAATCCTATTACTGCATACTCTTTCTCAAACTAATTAATTCGTTTAATTAGTTTACTTCATATCTCCCGAGTGGCCTACTGGGGGATAGCGCTTTGATGTTTACAACGATGGGTGCTATGCTGGGTGAAAACATTGTCATCATTCACTGGGGATTGCTGGCACATCCAATTGTCGAGTCTGAAATCGGAGGAAATACGCATCCTGGATTCCACTGCTAGTCACCAGCAAACAAATACCGTCAGATTAAATAATTGCCTTATAAACTGAGATTCTTAAGTTTTTTCCTAGTTGATCACGGATTGATATCAGTTAAAAAACCACTGAAAACCAGGGATTACTGGACAGCTGTTTCATCCTAGTTTGGGAATCATCAGCACGCTCGCTAGTGACTTGCTACAGGTTGGAGTTTCCTGAGTTCTAGTGAGAAGTCGTGACCAGTGAGGTCCAATTAGATGTCACGTGTGTGGATGGATGTCCCACCAACGAAAATGGTTGGGGTCGCGCTAAATCACGAATTGGTCGAAGTTAGAATTCATGATCCATTGAATCGGGTCCCAGGGGTTGAATGGTATACGAGCTTGCCTTGTAACCGGAAGGTCCTGAGTTCGAATCCCAGTGGGTGCGTACTGCCGATGATTCCCGAACTAAGTGGATGAAACAGCTGTCCAGTACTCCCTGTGGCTGGTTTTCAATGGTTTTCTAACTGATATCAGTCCGTGATCAACTCGGGAAAAACATGTCTAACCCTTACAAACCAAACTATAGAAAATTAGTCTGAGATTATCCGACTAATATATCGAGGGGTCTAGTGTTTTAAGACCGTTCATTCTCCATCTCTCTCTCTATGTTTTCACCGTTTGTTCAGACAATGTGATTTATGAAGAGGGGAGATTGTTAGGGTTTAATTCTTATATTTATAGTTTTTCTTCCATCATGTCTAACAGAGGTAATTTTTATCTTCACCTATTTATTTACACAGATGGCAGATATTCACTATCTCAGGCGGAACTTATTAATCAGTTGAAACAGCTAACTCAATTTTGTACAACTATTTCATGTGATGGCCAACTTATCTACAATTTATCACAATTTGTTCCAGCTCATTTTTTATTCAATTGGATTCAATTGGCGTATTGTCTTACTATCCATGAAATCGCTCATAACGATAAGATGGATTATGATTATTGTTGTTATACTACTGCGATTGGATTTCTATTCATAATAGAATCTAAAAATGTTAAACAATACGATGTTTTTATGAAATTTATTGTAAGTTTGTATGTGGTGAATTGATTTTTAGACAAACTTCTCATGAGCATATATGTGACATGTTTTTATACTACTAGATTTTATGTTAGCAGTAGTATTTTGAGGAGTTAGTATGTGGGGACTTGATTTGTTTCAAGTTGGACCACGAACTGATGTCAGTTAGAGAACTATTGAGAGCGTGGAAATACTAGACAGCTCGTTAGATAACCAAAGGGCTATAGGTTCGCTACCCAGTACGTGCGTACTCCCGATAACTCTTAAACTAGGGTTAAATAGCTGTCCAGTACTCCTTGCTGGTTTTCAGTTGTTATCTAACTGATATCACTCTGTGGTCAAACTTGAAACAAATAAAATCCCTACAAACTAACACATGAAAATTAATCTGATGCTCGCTAGTGAGTGGTTACAGGACGAAGTTTCCTGGAGTTCGTAAGTGGTGGAGTCCAACTAGTCGGGGGTGAGGACTAATACTCGCCGATGGTGGTCGCACTAAAATCACGAATTAGTAGAATTTATAATTCATGAGTTGTCTGTCTGTCTGTCTGTTTTCGACATAGAACTTTGCACAAATGTGCGGCAGTTCAAGTCGCCACACTCCGTGTAGCATGCGAAGCAAGAGAAGAAAGTACAAGAAAAGCGTAATAGAGACATTGAGCAGAGGTGTGAGACAAAGGAGTAATAACGAAGAACAATTCATGAGTTGGCCATTGATTTGGGTCCCAGTGACTGAATGGTCTACAAGTTCGCCTTGTAACTGGAAAGTCATGGGTTCAAACCCTAAGAGGTGCGTACTTACCGATGAATTTAATTAGTATTTCAGTTGGTGGTGACTAGTGTTCGAATCCAGGATGTCCATCCCATCCTATTTGGGACTCATTTGATAGATGTACCTGCCTCCGCAACGTGTGATGGTGTTCCCACAGAAACTTGAACTCTAAATCCGTCATTTCAAACGCCAAACCATTATCCATTAGGTTACGAGAGCCACTTACTGCCCAACAGATATCAGTATCAATTAAGGGGAAATCTTATACCGATGATATGGGAAGTGGCTCTTTGGAATCTAGTGGATAACATTTTTGTGTGTTTTTGAAATGCTGGGTACAGGATCTGAGTCTCAGTAGAGGAACATCATCACACATTGGGAATGAAAGTGAACCCAGATGGCGAGTCCCAAACGGGACGAAATGCGCATCCTGGAATCCACTGTTAGTCTCACTATTAACCAAAAATAACCTTACGTAGAAGCGTCCTTACTAGTGTGGTGAGAGCAGGCTGCTAGCCAATTGGTAGACATTAATCTACGCCAATGTCTAGGTCACTAATATGGGCCATGAGAAAATATGAGCAAGGCTGATTCAACAACCAATCATAGCAGACTTAACGTGGTCAAATATGATTCGCATATAGACGGCTCCACTTTTCGATGGTTACCCGAAACAACCAATCAGAAGGAGAGTAAGCTATAATAATGTATGTGAAATATATATAAATACGTGTTGATTTCCGTAATAAAACTATCTGTTGCCGGCCCTTGTTAACAGAGACCGAGCCTTCCGGTCCAACATAATCAGTCAAGGGGAAGTGCGAAATTAACCTGCAAATAAATATCGGCAGTAGTAGTTTCATATTGTTTTCAATGTTGTGGCTGATTCATCATAATACTACAGTCAACGTCCATTGCATCCAACTGGACATTAGCTATTAGTTGTTTTCATAAGTAATAAGATAACCTTTTGTATGTTGATATATTTAAACTTTAGAATTTTAGTGTATAAATGTACATTTGTAGCTCATATTCGTGAAAACAATGGGTGTTTTAGGATCCTGTGTATGTCTTATGCATATAGTTAATAAACAAATGCATATATCGATGTTAACTAGCCCATAGAAATATACATTCTAGATCACAAATAAGGTGTATTATATTAGTACGAAAGATGATCAAGTTTGCTTTTGATTCTATTCCATTTGGTTGGTTTCATCGTGAACCCACATAAGTTATTGAACAAAATCCGTCCAGAACTATAAGCCAGAATATTGGCTTATTGCTCGTTAGTATGGTTTTCTTTTAGTTCTAATAGGAAGTTTTAACCGGTGGAGACTATGAAGTCCGGTGTCAGACAACTATTCAGTAATGACATTTATTGGCAGTGACAAGAGTTAAAATTCATAGTTCGTTGAATTTCAATCCACTTTCTGAATAGTAACAGAGTCATTTCGTTAAGTGAAGGTTTCACTTCTGACTTTCGGTGGCAATATGGGCTCAGTGCATACTTTTTTTTTGTCCTTTGCATTCCATTTGAAAAGAAATAGGGCTTCAAGCTTTGAAGCTCTGGCAATGGTGGCGTCGTTTTTACTCGGTTAGTGGCCTGTTAACTTCATACTCAACCTTTCCTTTTTCCATGCCCGCTACTGGATAGTAGACTGGGCGAGGTTTAGTAGTGCGTCGACTGGGAATTGGACCTGGACATCTTATGTGACTGACGAGTACTCTACCGATGAACCATCAATACATTATCTTACTATGGGGAACTGTATTTCTAAAGTAATGATGTCTAGTCTGTTATAGGTGAATCGTGTATCAGTTTCCACAATAAAACGTCAATTTCGTAAATCCAGTTATCTAATTACCAATTATAATTAATCTTTTTGTTTCAGGTTGATGAATTATGGAGTTCATTGAAAAATTTCTATTTGCAAGCGGTGGATTATCTCTCTAAATCATCAATGATAACATGTAATGAAGAATTGCCTAGCGATAAAAATGACAATCCCAATCAGCAAAATGTTACTGAGGAAGATATTATTGACTGTTATTATGAGGAGTTCGGCAGATTGTTGATATTAGCTCGTTTAACATCAAATTTAAATTGTCCATTACAACTTGTACTCAGCAATCAAACTCTTGATAAATTGACATGTTTACTGTTTGACCGGTTAGCTACTCTCTGTCTGCAGCATAGTGGGATTACTGTACATAATCATGCTTCTGTATATCGCGCTTTATTCAGTGTAAGTACTTTTTGAGTAGAATGTGAATTTTCTGTTAAATTATGGGTTTTTGTGGGGATTTGCATCGATTCATTTCAATGTAGATTTCATCACGAATCAACGCCAGTTAGAGATTATTGAAAATTGGGAAGGATTAGATAGGGGTTTCGTCATATTTTGGGATTCTTCAGCATTGAAATCAATTTAAATTCCTACAATCTCCAGGTCATTGCTACCTACTGGATAGATGTCCCTAAAGCTGTACTGAGAAGTTATGACAAGTGGGGTCCCCACCATGTCAAGGTGAAGTGGATAACAATCGGATGCATTGGTTGGGTGTGTGGCACTGTATCACGAACTGATAGTCAGAAGTTAGAATCCACCTTTCATTGAATCCCTGGCCAGGTGGCTGGACTGTCAATGAGCTTGGTTACTTAACATGGAGGTCTCAGGTTCGATCCCTGGAGGAGTCGTGGGTGTGAACTGATGAAGAGTCTCAAACTAGGATAGGATGGAACAGCTGCCCATTGGTCTCGACTTTTCAATGGCCTCTAATTGATATAGGTGGTAGTATGTGAACTTCGCCATGTTTTTGCTAAAATTATTGATTGAGTCGAGTAGATCTCCAAAAAAAAGCTTTATCAGTACGAGTTGTCACACTCCATGTAGTACACGAAGGAAGACAAAAGTGAGAAAGAAAAAGATATTCAAAAGAACGATTATAAGCAGAGATGTAAGGGAGAAAGAATCGTAACATGGAAAACCATGGGGCCTTAATGGCTATGACAGACCACAAAGAGTGAATACACCTGAGCCAGCCATTGAGAACGAGGATTTTGAACTATATTACCAATGGTCTCCAGTCAATGAGATTTATCTAGTCACAATGCAGATTTCATTTGACATACAGTCGTCATTCATTATTTTAGTAACACACTGTTGACCCAGAACTATTTCAGATAGTATAACCCATCAATGAAAAACCTGCTCATCGCCTTCTAACTGATTATGACTAAAATTCACAGGAGAAGATCTGGTTGTATGGGTAGCTAGTGTGACGATGAACGGATAGTAACAGATTACTCATGCACATGACGGCTGGGAATTATCTGTGGTGCTTGCCAGTCGAATGACAACCTAGTCAGCAGTTGGATCCCATAGCTAAGCTAACAGAGGTCGTTGGTTCGAATCTTGCCACTGCGACCTAGAGTATTATTCCACCTTCAGTCATCATTACCTGTTATGAAATTAAATTAAAACTTTATTATAGCTTGATTCCACGCAGTATTTCGGTTCAGGTATGGAATTTTTAGCATGTGATATCGGTAGCTCAAATTTAGCCGGCCGACCATTGATATCAGGTGTGCGTCGGCTGAGAATCAAACCTCGGACTATGTGCATGGTTAGGGAGCATCCTAACCGCCATGCCGCCGACACAAATACCTATCTGCCAACATAGATTAAATTTATTTGATAAGGACTCATAGTGTTATACAGTATTAATATCAGGAAATAATACTGTACAAAATGTTTTAAGACTCATACAGGTGGCTCAACCGCCTTCATCACTAGGACTTAACGCTTAGTTATTTCTTTTGTATCAATTCTTGTGTCGAAGAAGTGTATGATCAGATTGTTCGAAATGTGTTGCGAACTTTGTTTTTACTAATATTAGAAGAGGATTAACCAATTCTCATTATAAAGAACCTGTTTGCTACTTCCTCGTAAAGGTTAGGCATATTTGGTAAAGGCTCACATATTATGACTATTTTCAAAATGGCGAAACAAGTGCCGTTTTAGTTATATTTTTTTGTCTGAAGTCTTCGAGATGCTGAGACTGTCTGGATTCAACGTAGAACTTGGCACCGAAGTGCACCAGTTCGAGTTGCCACGTTCCAAATAGCACACAGAGGTAGACGAGAAGATGAGTGAAGAGAATCAATAGAGTTTGACAAGTATGAGAGTGAAACAGAATGGGTAATGGTAGAAAGGAATATGAAAGATTACAGAGACTGAATACATCTGCCCTGGCCATTGACAACGATTTTGAGCCATGTCACCTATTATCTCCAGCCATTGATTCCTAGAGTCCCGAAGATGCTGAGAACCATTGGCTAGAGACTGTTGGTGACGTGGTACAAAATCGTTCTCAGTGGTGTAGAGATGCATTCACTCTCTGATCTTCTAAGTCGACTGAATTCTCATTATTCTCCGTGTAATTATTCTTTCCTTCGTGTATTTCCATTTTATTGCAGTTTCTGTGAATTTCTTGTCTCTTCTACTTTTGTGTTTGCTCTATGAAGTGTGCAAGTTGTTGAACTGCTACATTTCTGTGCAAGGTTAGTTCTGTCCTGGGAATTCAATACAGTTAGTTAGGCGGATGTTTTGTCATAAGCAAATGGAATTTCGGGAATGAGTTCATCATTTCACTTTTCGATAAGAGGTATCCAACATGTCACTAGTGCATTCATACACTAATGTTTGAATGTATTTAGGTAGTCTAACTTTATGGTGAGAACTTGTAGCTCAAGTAGATGATGTTAGTGCAATTGTATCCACTGAGCTAAGAGAGGTTTAACTCAGAAGGTTTCACTATCTTACTAGATAATCTATTTAGCAGTAATATAAAGTAAGCTTTCTCGAAATTCTTGATCTCATCATCCAGGTCAGAGAACATAACGGTGTTATTAGCTGATTGGAAGCAATCGGCAGGTGATGTTGAACCTAGATTTCGTACTTCTTAGCACTCATCATGCATAACAGCATACTGGACACCTTCAGTCTTTTCTTCTGTTGAATTGATCACCGATTTCGAAAAAGAATGCTTTAAGCGTTTAACTCTTATATCCGCTTAAGTTATGTTTTAATATAATTTTTATTTTATTAATTTTCTACAGGAAGAACATTCAATTTCTGTAAATAATTGGTCAGAATTTTGGTTGAAGCCACTGGTGAACTTTATGTAAATATCATCGTTTATTTTTATTTTCTTTCTTTTTGTATCTTTTCGAATACAATTTTGTCATTGAGAGTTGAATCAAATTTATGTAAATATATATCTGTTTTATACCAACTGTTGAGTTCTTGATCGGACTATAAACGATTAATTGTGATCCGGTTGTCCTTAGCGTCATTTAGTAGTGGATGTACAAAACAGATAACAAATTATATTTTGTTAAGCAGGAATTTTCCTTAGTGTATGACGTTTAAGTGATTTAGTTTAGGTCGAGTCTTTTTGGGGATATTGTGTAACTTGCAATGATATGGACATAGATCACTGACGAGACCCAGTCAGGACGAAACGTCTGCCTTATATCTCGCTGCTAATCATTATTCTAAGTCACTTAAAGAGTTAGAATTATTATGTGTTGTTAAGTCGCGCAAATAGCTCTTCTATTTTCCTGCTTATTCGTTATCTATTCGTGTAATATTGACTTTTAACTACCACTTTTCTCATTATTATGTTTCTCGTTTCTTTTTGACTTTTGAATTCAGTACAATTACTTGAAGTCAGCGACGTTAAAGAATAATTATCCGGAAGAATAATAATACAAATAATCTCGAAATAGTGATTGACGGTTCGCGTGAATAATGATGAAGTTATTGCGGATAAATGGAGTTTATCGTCATTAGGGACTTGGGGGAGATAAAATACCTAAAGTTAAATTCCAACTGTAACCTAACCCTAACTGCGAATTCCATCTCCTAACCCTAAAGGATAGTAATTGAGATGAATAATGAAACTCTTATGAACAACTGACTATTATCCTTGCAACATTTTAGAATAAGGTTTACAACTTAACATTTTTTTGAAGAACATTCTGTTTTTTAACTTCATTTTTCGTGATTCAGTGTGATTGACAGCTTGAAGGTGTTCACTATTGTTTGACTTCCCCACGAAGGCGTATTGCTGCTCATATTTGTACACTTTATCGTCTATCTGGAGTTATCAAATGATGAGAAGCTGATGAAACTAGCACTAAATAGGTACATAACAGCTGAAACAACCTTTGACAGGAGTAATTCATAATGGAAATTTAAACCATTGAGCCAAGATAGGATATTTGTTACAGTGCAATTAAATAATCTGGAAGCCTGACGGTATGCACCCAATATAACTAGTTATTTGTTAGCTTAACTTTCCTAGGTACGAATATTGAGCATAGTATTATTATTTCTTTTAATTCCTAGAGGAACATAGGGATTCAGCCGCACGTCTCCATTGCCTTCGGTTCTCCGCCAACGTTTTCTACCTGCCTCCATATCTGCCCACATGCTTTCATCTCCTCTTCAAATGGCCGCCTCCATGTCACCCTCGTACTGACGACCGACTCGCCACTTCCCGTTTGGGTTCCACTCGAGCAATAGCCTGGCGTGTGATATCGCTTGACGGTTTGTTTTCTCAGAGTATGGTCAATCCACCTCCATTTCTCCTTGCATATTTGCTGCACAATCGGTTCCTGCTGGGTTGGTTCGCTCCCAGAGACCCCTCTCTGTTGCTGATGTTTTCTGGCCATCTGATCTTGAGTTGTGTTGAGCAAAGACAGCTGTTGATAAAGGTTTGTAGTTTTTTCGAAGTGGCCATCACAACGTGGCGCCAACTCCCTGATCTGTACAGTAAGTGGCACTGACTTCACACTGGAGCTGAATTCAGCTTGTTCCGGTCGGCCTTTTTTATGCAGGGCGTGTTTGATTCTTTCCAGGATGATGTGATTTAGTATTTTGTTTGTGATGGACAGGAGCATAATCCCGTGCCAATTCTTGCGTGAACCTAAGTTTCCTTTCTTCGGCAGTTTGAATAAGTAGCCTTTCTTCCGATCCACAGGTACCTTGCCCTCTTTCCACACCTTCTGCAGTAGTGATGTCATCAAGTCCGTTGATGTCTCCGGGTTCATTTTCAAAGCTTCTGCTGGGATTCTGTCTGGTCCTGCTGATTTTTCAGTTTTTAGCATCTTTATTGTCTTCAAGATTTCTGTTTTCATCGGAGGGTTGATATCCGCTGGTAGTTCTGCTTCCGCTGTTGGTATTGAATGCGCATAGTAATAAAATCGAATTGTTCTCACTGGTACGAATCGATCTGTCTCCTCTGTTTATTTGCATAGGCTTTGTGAGTTAAAAGAAATCTGTGATCAGCGTTAGTATTGGACCGACAAATCAGTAGTATTATTACGTCGTCATCAGCAATAATATCAAGATATATTGTGTTCATTAATTATTCGTAACATGCTTCTTCTTCGAATGCTCGTTCAAGTATAATTAAAGCAAAGTTTAACACCCAACAAGCTCAAGTGCACAAATGATCATAGAACTCTCGCTTAGAGAGAGACTGTGAAATCATTTAGGTGTTGGATGAAATGTCATGATATTTAAGAGGATGTCTGGCTAATTTTAGGTTAGGTTAGAGAAAGATTAAAGTTAGGTTTAACCAAGAGACAGATTAGGGTTGAATTATAATATTATTATTATTCCCTTGGGTTTCGAGTGGAAAATACGGCTTCAATAACACATCTTCATCTTGTCCTATTTCCTACTAACCTCTTCAGCTGGGTCCACAATTGACCGAATTCTCTCATCTCTTCCTCACACGACCTCCTCGATGTCACCCTCGCACTGACGACGCACTTGTCGCTTCCCACGGGGATTCCACTCGAGCGATGGCCTGCATTGCGCATGATGTCATTCGACTGTCTCTTCAGTGTAGCCCGATCAACCCATCTTCATTTATTCCTACATATTTGCCGGTTGAGCAATCGGCTCTTGCATGTTGGTTTGTTCCCAGTCAGTTTCCTGTTGCTAACTGTCTCTGGCTGGCCGGCCATTTGGTCCTCAGTATGGACCCAGCCAGCGAAGTGGGGAGCTGTTGATAAAAGCCTGTGAATTGTTGAAAACCATTATCGTGACTGACACGCAGTGCAAGTTTCGGACCTATATCAAAGAACCCACTGACTTCACATTTGTGTTGAACAGAATCCAAATCTTGTTCCGTGTGCTGACTGAGTGCAGAAGATTTCTGAACTGGTTTCAGGTTGGTGAAGGCGTATCTTGCTTGTCTTTCCGATTCTGGCTGGCTTTGACATCTTCATCGGTGCTGTCCGACTGCCTGTGGTTGAGACCATGCTTCCTGGCTGGATAAGTGAAGGAAGTAACCTCTATCAAATCTCTCCCGTTGATGGTGATTAGTTGTTGTTGCTAATTATCTTCATCACCTCCATCTTCCCTATGTACACCTGAAGTCCTGTCTCCGCTGCCTCCGTCTTCTGTCACTTTGTTGGTTTTCGCCTGCAAGCCTTCGAGTCTGTGCTACATTAAACACGAATCAAATGCTGTCTCCTCACTACCAACGCACAGTCTTCCGCAAAATCCTGTCCACCACAATTTGAGAATATCATCGGTGATAATAGGCAGGCTGTCAGCCAGCTTGTCTTACTTCTGCATCGACTTCGAAGGCCTCGCGTAGTTTTCTGTTGTGTATCACCTGACACGTGGCACTGTCATATATATAACCAGCTGTTGAATGAGGCTGATGAAGACTTGGGCACTGAACGCCATAGTGTTGAAATAGCTTCTGAATTACTTCCTGGCTAAAGCCCTTTCGAAGTCGATGAAATTAAGGTACATGTTTGACTATCACTCTATGCTTTGTTCAATGATAATGGATGGAGCTGCAATTTGACCAGCGCATGATTCGCCTTTCGTGAATTCAGCCTGCTTGTCACGACGAAGGGCGGAGTTTTGCATCCAGTACATCTTTCATTCTTTCCGAGATAACGCGAGTTAGTAATGTACTAGGAGTGGACAAGAGCATTATTCCACGCCATTCCTCGCAGAGGCCTAAGTCGCCCTTCTTTGGTAGCTTGACTAGGCCACTAGGCTTTCCTCAAATTGGTAAACACCTTTCCCGCCATCTAACCTTTTTGCAGTAATAGCATGAGCACATCTGCCACAGTCTCTGGGTCCTATTTCAGTGTTATGGGGGGGGGGTGATCCCGCCTAGCCCTGTTACTCTCTTCACTGGCCTTCAGTAGCTTGATCGCATTTAGGATCAGATTTACGTTTAAGCGTTCTTATCTATTGGATGTTTAAGTTTGAACTTTGCCGTTTTCATATTATTTGTTGACTCTAATACATTTAAACGAATTAAAACATTAAAACAAATGAGTAAATTCAATATATTTTATATATGTAGACAAAAATAATAACAATGATAAATAAAAGCTTTTCATTCTTTTTTCCCTTCTCTTTCTTCTTCTTCCTCTCTGAGGTTTTCTCTTCCCCTTAAGCTGAATAATAAAGATTAGCAGTAGCTTGTTCATTATTATTATGATTATTATCATTGTCGTTTGTATCGTCTGTTTTCGTTGTCTCCAGTAGACGTTCATCATTTGAATACAACAGACATGATTTAATCCAATTTGAATGTTGTCTAATTCGTTTACATATTTCATATTTCATTTGTTCAATATGATTAATGATATTTATAAGGATGATTTGTTTATTCTTTGTCTGCTTCTTTTAAAATTTATAAATATAAACAAGAAGGGAGAAAAAAGGTTATTTTTTTTCAAGTATATATAGTATAGCGTAGTGAAGTATTTGCATGTTTAGAAGAAGAAATTGTAAGCTAATTTTACACATGTGTGTATATATATCTACATAACTATGACTCATCGATAATAACCATTTATCTTCCAGCTGTTAAGGTTTCGAGTTTCTACCTTGAATCATTCATTAATCGAGAGAGAGAGAGAGAGATAACGACAGTCTACTGGTACAATATTCCCTATAGGCAACAGCAGTGTCTTGTCATTTATTGCATAAATCCACACATGTTTACTGAGTTACTCAGTCCGTCGGTGCTGTACCACAGATCTCCTTGTGGTCCAGTCCCTATTGGTAACTGCGCATAAGAGTCATGTACCATCACATGAGTGAAACTGAATGGGAAATGCCCATTTGGGTGTCCGAGGGTGACATGGAGGAGATCGTGTGAGGAGGAGACGAGAGTTTATGGTTAATCGTCGAGCCAGCTAAAGAGGACTACAGACAGCAGGGTGAAATGGAGATGTTCTGTCGAAGCTGTGTTCCACTCAGAACCTAATGGAATAATACTGCTAAAATACTGTTAGACATCGCCGCAGCGCTCACCCAAAGAGCCAACATGTCAACTCACACTGAACATTTTGGTTCATTCAATCGACAGGAAAAAAAGATCAGCTTAAGCTACCCTAGCTATTGTGCGCTTGTTCGTATTTTCCAAAACTCTTGGAAAATCCATTTGTATCTGCTCGTAATTTAATTATAGCATTATTTATATAGAAGGATGATGGTTAAAGTTAAATCAAATTTCTGGGTCTTGGAAGTCTTCAGACTATTGACTTTCGGGTTACAGTTTCAACATTCTACTGATTGACTGTGAATTAGGTGAATGAGGTTTCAGTATGACTCAGACACTTGTTAAACTCATACTTTTTTCTCGATTCTGCTTTTCTGTGTACTGTAGTGGAGTAGAGGCGGAAAATAAATAATATGGCAATCGTCCGAATGCAGTTAATCTTGTATTGTCAGGAGAATTAATTTTATTGCTTTTGTTGAATCACCCAATTGTGAATAGTAGATACAACTGGATAATGTCTCCTTTGACATCTAAACTGAAAACTGTAGTCATATATGGAGTTACATTCATATAAAACTAATAGAGCTGAATGACACTCTTCGGGAGATTGGATTTACAGCACCCAACAATTTGGTTTGTAAGTTTCTTAAAAGATAAAAGTTGTATTCGGTAACTGTGATTCTTTGTCAACTACAGGTTGATTTATTCTGTGCTTGTATCTTATTAAATTATTAAAAAATATGCGTTATCAGTAGGTGGAAGGACTGCAGCTATTAAACATAGTCGTTTGAAGTAGGTTGATATCATTAAGAATGCCCAATATTCTATTAGAGGATAGGCTTTTTGGACTTTAATTTTTCATGGTAGAGCTCTCAGCCTCATTTTAGAAGCTATATTCAGTGTTACATTTTTAGGAAGTAGGTATTAAAAGCGGAGTAGCCTGTTGTGTTGTTTGATGAAATATATTCCCAGTTGTTTCTTCTTAAAGTAATCTAGCTTCTGTATTGTTGGCAACGCACATATTTCTTACTGATGAGGAGGGATAAACATGAAACCTCGGTTAAACGGAATTTTCTGGCGACTGAATCCTGTCTAAATTTAAAATCACCTGATTCTACTGTGTACACACCTGAAATTCCGAGTAGCATACTGATTACCGAGCCCTTTTTCACTTCTTTGCGTTCCCAGCTGAACATAATGGTTCGGGCTTGAAGCCATTGGACTTCCAGTAGCGTTGTTATTTTCACGGTGTCTGGTCGCTAACCCCACGCTCAATTTTCTCTTTTTCTCGGTGCTTACTACCGACTAGTAAACTGGGTAAATTTTAAGAGTGCGTCGGTCGGGAATCAAACCCCAAACTACGTGCGTGGTTGGTGAATATCCTCCCGTTGGACCATCGACATACACAGTGTACATTAGATTACATTCAATTTTAAAGTAACACTTAGTGTTTTACAATAAAAACGAACATAAATTGGTAAAATAGAAAGTTCTCAAAGAAAATAACCCCAAAAAATGACTTACATTTGATTGGTCAACTTTCACATGATTTATTGAATCGATGTTTGACTTGATATTGTCAAACATTTTTGAGTCGACACATTGTTGATAACGTAACTATTAGTAAATAAGGAGAGAAATTTATTTATTTATTATTCTACTTTTTGTATAACTTTTATTAAAATTAGTATAGTGGGCGAATTCATTTTTTTGTATTGGTTAAAATATCTTTATGTGGAAGAATAATCAGCCTATTTCTAGGTGTTGTAAAAGAAGTTATGAGGAAGTGACTTTCAAAAACTGATTTTAGCCTGAAGTTGAGTTTAACCATTCAGCTAATAGATTCAGCTAGAGTGACCCAGTGCACACCCTGGATTTCATCAGCTCATGAAATCCTTTTTAAGTTTCAGTAGCGATGGTGTTATTTGTACGGAGTGACGTTGACAGACTTACTTTCAAGCTTCCCTGTTTGTCGGGATAACTACCAAGTAGTCAGCTAGGCGAGTTATAAGTGTTCGCCTATCAGTAATCTAACCAAGGCCATGATTGTGGTTGGGCAGCATTCTACCACTGACCCATCGATGCATTTGTAAGCCAGTTACATTCAGGTTATGTAGAACGATAACCGTCTAGTTAGTCAATTACAGTTTGTCTGATAGATAAAGTTTGTTGTGATTCATTTCATTAATATATATATATATATGATTTGAATACCTCAGGTATGTATTAATATGAAGGTGAGCATGTAGAAAGAATCAGGGAACCAAGAAGTTGTGTCATTAGTCAGTCAGGTCCTTAGGCATTTCATTAACAACAAGCTTAGCAACCATCAGAGACTAAGGTGTACAGGATAGCTTTCTCCTTATATTTTAGAATTCTTCAGTAGCGGAATCCATTGATATCATCAGCGGTCTAACATTCATCCGTCAGTACATAAGGCAAGGACATCACTACTTGATTAATAGTTAGTAATCTACTAAGTAGTCATTTCAAGCTCGTTTAAGTGCACTGTAACTGAATAAGTGATCTGAAAATCCCTCCATAGTCACTTTATTTACAATATTGCCGTTGTGTGATGCTGTTGATTATAATGTGTTGTTTTACGATCGCAATTTTGCTTGAATGAAGTCAAGGCTACCCTCTGGAGTGACTGGTTGACTCTGGACTGTTTTTGAGGAAAGCGTGTTTTGTTCTACTTAGTTCTTGTAGAGAGAGTTTTGAACCTAACTTGTTTGGTAATAATATTATTGATTCTCAGGTAATTTAAAATTGTTTGATCAATTAATTTTGTTGTATAGCATGTAATTTGTACCTAAGAAATTCTCGAACTCTATGGCTACCAGTTATTATCGCTGCGGTAGTTCTGTATTTCTAATATAAATTATTCTTGTTGAATAGTATGATAGAGTTAATCACAACAAATTGTGTTTTTAATATTGTTGGAATGTAGTCACGGATTACTTGACTCGCGGAAATTTGGCAAACTATAGTCAAAAACGTCTAGTTTGGTCTCCTACTTTCAGACGAAAATACTTGTCGTCAGCATTCACTTACTTCTATGTATAAATTAATGTTATCACATCTAAGTTCATAATGAGATCACGATTTCTCATGAGAAGTGTATGAAAACTTTCTAGATCCTAATCACAGATCAGGGTGGGGGGTGGGTGGGTGGAGGGGAGGATTAATTATACTGTAAATACCAAACCTAAAAGCTAATTAACTTTCGCCTTTCAGCTTAATATTAACTTCATATCATACAGTAAACCATTTTTGTCTAGAAAGGTAATCAAGGATTCACAATTAAGTTATTTAGTTCAAAGAACATGATAACATCAGAAAACATCTATAAATTTAAAAATGTAAAACTTCTGTAGTTGTCTCAAAACTGTCTCTACAATAGTGTTTCACATGATTTGTTGGTTACTTGTTATCTTCTCCAATCAATATCATCATCAATCAACTATTGATAATAAGAAGAGGATCTGGAGTCAAATCTACTTAATAATGCGGTAAAGAACCCAGATTTTCTGAAATGTATTTGAAACATTACAACAGCTGGTACTTGTTATAACTTAGCTGATAACAGACTGACACCTTAATGCTTGTCATATTCACTATGTAGACAATTTTTCGAGATGCCCACATTGAATTTAAGTTATTAAGGATATTTCTTCATTGGATGATTATTAGTATGGTGGATGCTTACAAAGGTGGGCGTTCGACATTCACATGGAAGAAATTGTGTGAGGAACTAATCGGCAATTGTGAGGCCAGATAAAAAGTACTACAGAAAGAGATTATGTATTGCTGAAACCCTGTGTTCTATTCAAGAAAATTATAATAAAACAGATGTTTACAAGAAAAAAAATGAAATCTTTATAAATATTCTTACTTCACAAGCTGCTTTAAGTGTCTTACACAGTTCCATAGCGTTTGTATGACAGGTTATTACATGACATATGAATAAATCATCAGCTGTGTGTTGAACAATCCCGCAAATTCTGAAAAAGGAAGAAAAAACAATCTGTGTGGAGTAAGTAGAAATTTTTCAACAGTTCAAAGCCTTGTATAAGTTGTTATTCAAAACTACTATTTTTGGATTTATGGGAAGGAATTTCTTTAATTTCAAAGTAGATTTCGCTACCAGCCGAAATCATCGAGGGAACCAATGAAAATGGGGAAACGTCAAGCAAACGTTTAGGCCTAGATTAGTACTCTTCAGTAGTAAGCATCCATTACCAGACTAGGTGTTGAACACAGGACCTTTAGGTCATTATGATAGTGCCTTACCACTCAGTCACTGGGACGGAACGTAATGACCTATGGTTTCTAAATTCTGTCAGTTAACCGTACAACACTACGATCATTCAATGATGGTGACGACATCAGCCTTGATACCAATCAAATTCTTACAAACCATTACTTAAAAATTCTGCTATACTTGCAAATGTCCTTAAGTGATGCTATCTTAAAGAAAGGGGCGTAGTGTTAGTGTTAGAATCAGTCCTGCCAAAGGCTTTTTAGAAGTATCAGTTATCCTGCAAAAGTATGATTGAAATTCTGTGCTGGTAACATACTAAAATCACTGTGGAGATCTGCAACAATTACCACAAAAACAAGTTCATAGTTTTACCACAAACTGACATCGGTTAGAGGACCATTGTAAAACCAACAAGGAGTACTGGACAGCTTTTCCCTAGCCTATTTTGTGACTCGTCGAAGTACTCAACCACTGTTAGGGTTCGAAGCCAGGATCTTCCGCTTACAAGGCGAGCTGGAAGATCATTAAGCCACTGAGATCTTATCCAGTGGCCACCTCACGAATTCCAGCTTCTGCCAATTCATGATATCGGGCGGCCACTAGCGAATGCCATCAGTGGCAAGTATTTCTCTTCACACCCGTCTAGTACTCCCAGGTTTTTAATGATCCCCTAACGGATGTCAGTTCATGATGAAATCCTGAAAGGAATCAAATCCCTGCAAAAAAACACTTTGATTTAGTTCAGAGACTTGATACATCTTCAAAAGCAGTTTCAACAGCCTACAGACTTTCACCAATACCTGCGTACACCGCTTCGATACTGAAGATCAGATGGCTGACCAAAAAGGATCAGCAACAAGGAACGCTGATAGCACACTTATCGCCAAACAAATACTTAGAAGAAAATGGAGGTGAATAAGGCATCAATTCATAAGACATCGTACGTAACAATCACATTACTTACTTTTCATCTTTATTATATATTCCAAAAAATGGAATTGAACAAATTCGAAGATTTACAGCAGTGTAATTGTGATAAGACTGAATAGAACAAGAATAGGCAAATAGAAATATGAATTAAACTTACAGGAATCACTGGTTATTATATTCTAACTTTCATGAATTAGTTTATAGGGATTCTTTTTGTTTCATGTTAGACCATGCACGGATCGGCATCATTTAGAGAACCATTGAAAACCAGGGAGTACTAGACAGCTGTTTTTGGGACTCATCGACAGTGTGCATGCACTGGATTCTAACTTTTACCATTTCGTGATTTTTAGGGAAACCACGAACTGGTATCATTGGCGGGAACTCCATCTTCACTTTCGACTTGATGTACCCCGCGAATTCGTAGAAGTTAGAATTTTATAATCTGGCGATTGAATCAGGTTCCAGTGGCTGAGTGATATACGAGCTTGTCTTGTGACCGGAAGGTCCTAAGTTCGAAGCCCAGTGGGTGCGTACTGCCGATGAGTCACAAACTAGGCTGATGAAACTACTGGCCTGTACTCCAATGCTGGTTTTCAATGGGTCTATCAGCGATATCGATTTGTATTCTAGTTTTTATTCGCACATGAAATCGTACTTCAAAAATGCTAAAAATCAAATTCATAATTTGCAAATCGGTTAGCAATTAGCTGCATAAACAGCCCTAAGGATGAAATTTCACCTTAGTTTCTTTTGGAAACCAAATTATTCTGATCAGATACCACAAATGGTAGGTAATTAAGAAAGCAAGCATATTTGCATAAATCTATGTACTACTGATTGATTGAAATGAGTAGTTGTATACCACTCATATCAACCAGTAGTACGTAATAGCATGGCATACAATTATTCATCTCAATCGACCAGTTTTTTGTATTCCGCAGCATTCAGAGTGGAAAGTAGGGATTCAAGCTTGAGATTTGAAATTTCAGCAGCAGTGGTGTACTTTTATGAGATAAAGTCGCTAGCCTCACGCCCAACTTTCCTTCCTCACCAAACTAGGCGACATTAAGGAGTGCGTCAGCTGTTAATGAAATCGCGCACCATGTTTGCGGTTGGCGATGCAGTTTGTCAGTAGTATATGTGCCTGTATACAAAAAATATGCTACAAAGTTGTACTTTAAGACCAGTTAAATGAAATATTACCGCATAAATGGTTTGAACAAATAAACAGTCAAACTGTAGACATTTCAGACTTTTTGCCACACTTTAGTCGTTTTTGAAGCGCGGTTTTTTGTATTTAACGTAATTTTCATAAAGGATTTCAGTATATGACATTATCTGATAAGTGAAAAACGAATATTACGTCAGAAATATAAAATTTGCTAATTGGTTTTTCAATTTTTTACTTTTTGGGATAAAAAGCTTCACTAGTGTCTGTGTTTTCTAGTTAGCTGTCGGAACTGTGAAAATGAGTTAAATTCTAATCAAGTGTAAAATAAAACATTCTCTGATTATAAAACTTGTAAGCTATAAATTAAAATTAAACATTTCAATGCTGTTTCATACGCATCACAAGATCTTGTCTAGAATATTTTATCTGGTAAACAGCCTTTGGGAAAATATAGATTGGAAAAAAAACCTGGAAATTTAAAGTTTTTTCCTCTGTCTGTATTTTGCGTATAACAGTAAATTTTCTACGAGAAGGAATGATATCGACATTTACATGACTGGCTGACTGGTATCAGCGTAGAACTTTGCACAGATGTGCAGCATTTTGAGTTGCCACAGTCCATGTAGCACACAAAGCAAGAAAAGAGAGTAAACAGAGATAATAAACAGAAGTGTGAGTAAGGGAAAAAGAATAGTAATATGGAAGAAAAATAGAGCTTTATTGGATATTGTAAATCACAAAGAGTGAATATATGTGCACCAGCCATTGAGAACGATTTTGAGGTATATCACCAGTTGTCTCCAGCCTTCATTGGTTCTTACGATACCGAGGACTTCAACCGGTGAGGAGGCCTACTCCTCCCAACGTGGCAGCTGGCTTAAACTGACTGTCGTGAACTTCATTGACTGATGAAGCTATGTTTTAGTTTGACCACCACTGGCTCTTCTCCAACCTGCTCAATCCTATGTCAGCTAACATTGCCGGTCAAGGAAGGTGATGGCCAGGGATGCATGAGTAACACATGTCCTAACCATCTCAATCGCTGTAGTTTCACTTCACAACCTCGTCGATTTATTTCTCCCCCTTACCTAGCACTCGACCGATGCCTAACCTCAATATTGCTCACCTAATTATACTACCTTAGACGGGAGATAAAACGCAGGTACCTATAATCAAAGACAGATAGCCAGGCTTTTCATGCCTCACACTTTCAATGGCCACGTTTAACTCGTAGCCATAAAGGAGCACAGGGCAGAATTCTCAGCAGTACACACCCTTTGGTTAACATTCAGTCGGATATCACGTCTACGCCAGAGATGGAATAAATTGGCATATGCCAATCGAGCCTGAGGGCTGTTGACCTGCATACAGACTTGAGAGTAATGAAAGCCTGCCTTGCTTTCCCGGTGATCCTCGCTTTGATATCTTCGTCAGTTCCGTCCGCCTGTAGTTTAGACGATGCTTCTCAGGTAGGTGGGTAGGCAAAGGAGGTTACGTCTTTCAGATTCCTCCCACTTATGCTTATTGTTGTCTGTTGTTGCTGTTGGCCAGGCGTTCCGAAGAAAATGGAGATGGAATGGATAGGCAGTAAGAAAACCCTTGAATGACATCACTCACCAACCCCCCCGCAAATGTAACTCAAATAAGAAAAGATGAGTTGGTCCTCCAAGAGTGAAATGGAGATGACTGTGTACACGGGTTGAGTAAATCATTTAAATTCACTGACAATTTTATTATAATCCTTGACTGATTACTAACTACTAACTTGACTTTTATTGAAAGCGGAAAATTTAATTCTGATGTAAATCATATCAGGTATGAATTAGTCACATAATATAGCTTAAGCTGTAATGTTAGAAAGACACTTCCTGTTGTAGAAAACTTAATTTATGTGTTTTAATTATAGTTTAATCTTTTATAATGTCGTTAAGTTAGAATTTACGTCATATTTTTTAATGCCTATTCTGTTGTTCATAGGCTTTAATTTACAATAACTTTCCAATCTGTAATTATTTCACAATAAACTAGACTTTCTGAAGTTAACATGATTACAGAGATGAATAAATTAGATGTTGCTTTTTCAGGCTAAAATTTCCTTTTTAGTTTCCTAGTTAACTGTTTTTCAAATGATAAAAGTCTGACTTGTATATTCAAAAAGAGATTGCAGTTAGTCTTTCTCAGCCTTAGTAATTCGTCTTTTGATTATGCCATCTTTTATGTAGCGTAAATGTTGATTTCTTTTCACTCTTACCGAGTTACATCAGCATTTATTAACTGAGGTAAAAGTTACATTGAACGAACAGAAAGAACAGCACACCTCTGGCATCTCAAGGGTATAAATGCTTGTAATAGTGCCACTGCCAGATATCTCGTCAATGTGAGTTATGAGGTGGACATCGTGGAATCCTTTAGAATTATCAGTAGACAAAATAGTTCAACCGTTCTCAGGTTTGCTGAAGCAGCTGCCATCAGATGCCTAGAACCTGAATTATGCATGTACAGAAATAGGCAGTTATCAGTTTTTCATTGCTCTGTTAGCTGGATGCCTTTAGTATCTTTTTCATTTGATTACGTAGTCGCTGGCTTCGACCCAACCCCTTTTGATGTAGTGTCACTTTTCTTGTTACTTGTTTCTATGTTTTGAGTTGAGCTCACTATATTGTTATTATTATTATTATATCCTTTAATTCCTAGAGGAACATAAGGATTCAACCGCGCGTCTCCATTGCGTTCGGTTCTCTGCCAACGTTTTCACCCCGTTCCAAGTCTGCCCACACGCTTTCATCTCCTTTTCACCCTCGCACTGACAACCACCTTGTCGTTTCTCGTTCGGGTTCCACTCGAACGATGACTTGTCTAGTGATGTCACTTGATGGTTTCCTCAGAGTATGGCCAATCCATCTCCATTTCTTCCTGCCTATTTGTTTCACAATTGGTTCCTGGTTGGTTCGCTCATTGCCAGAGATCCCTGTTGCTGATCTTTTCTGGCCGGCCATCTGATCTTGAGTACTGAGCGAAATATTGTTACTCAGTTTATAAGTTATTTATCGTCTTATTCAGCCCTTGTCGTTGTTACATAACTCTTGCCATTGTATCCAGGCTTGTATTTCTCTGTTTAAATATGAACTTCCTGGAGATAAGCTGTATAAGTCCACTATCTGAGCACTATTTATTAAGTTTGGAGTCTCCTGTCAACTGATATTATGTAACATTTGCAAGTATGTAAGAATTGTTCTGTACAGAAACTTGATAGTTTTTTGACTGCTAGCAGATGATGTGAAGCCAACAAGGTTAAGTAGAGTTGTAAAGTCAATCACAAGTTCCATACTGGTACACTTAGTGGATACAGAGCCCAAGATTAACGAATATTCAGCCTTCAGAATTCCATACCCCCTAGGTTGCTACATCTCCGATTGATGAGCATAGTTGAAGCAGTCGCCATATAGATTCCCAAACCTAATCTCTTTGTTCAGGAGAAGTTTGTTCAATCTCTTTCGCTCCCTTGATCTTCTCTTCTAACCTAAAATAGTTATCTCTCCCGGTGTCACTGGGTGACCGAAAATATTATCTTATTATTACATTATATTATTTCGTTTTATTTGTAATACTAACCCTATTATCAATATCATGGTGTGCTGTAGTTGCACATTTTAATCTTGGTTTCGCAATTTATTATTATCATATTAACTTATCGCTGTTTGACCCTTCTACCCCTACTAGCATACACATTCTACCTATACACTCAACAGCGCCTAGATTTTATAAACACTCGAGTGGATTTACTCTTATTATTATTATTATCATTATTATTATGATCACCTTGAGTATTATCCTTCTATTCACATCCATGAATTCTGATCCCATATTTGACTAACCACACTAATTCAAATACCTATGACTAATCTATATATATATATATCATCCTGTGGCTCGTGCTACTGGTAAGATTTATCAGTAGTATATTTATAAAGAGAGAAAAACATCAAATAGCAGGGAAATAGATTTGACGTCAGAGAAAGCAAATGATACAACGTTGCGGAGATATACAGGAGACGTGAATGGAACATAAAGAAACACAATATGAAGGCAGGGCTGAATTAGCGTAACATGGAAGATCTGTGCAAATGGTGATTTGAAGATAAGGTGTTCATAATTTGGCTATATAGAGATGTGCAGATTTGTACATATTCTTACATGCATGCGCTTTTGTGTACTCATGGAATAACATGAATAAGTCATACAGACCTATCTATTTAACTTTCTTTATTGACCAGGTGTTTAAGCCCATTCCATAACTTAACTCATTATTTTAATTCTATGACTTATTTCTATATAGAGATACCAAATCATGCCTGTCGTCATTTAATGTAACATTATCACATTTGCTTATTAGCATTTTTTTTTAATAATTTACACAGTCCCCTAATTTATGTCCTCCAGAGTCTTGTTACTGACCTTGCTCGCAGCTTCTTCTGTTTTATTTGAGAAATTTCGGATACATTAGATATATAAGTAGAGGAGTATTTTGTACTTTACTAACTTCAAATCGTGACTATTCTATATAACAATGATCATTCTTAATTATTGTTCAGTATTTTATTTCCAATCCATTGTAGTATGTCAAAATTGTAATGAAAATATAACTTCTCATTAGATAGCTTGTGTACAGTTTATAATACTATCGACCAACAAAATAAAATGGATCCATTTTATCTTGTTCCAAGCGTTATTAGTGTTGTTTTTTGTTGTAATTGCTTTCTTTATCCAAATTCATTAAGGGGAATTCGTGTATGCCATATATTTCTGTGATCGTTATTTTGATCACAGTAGTTATTGATTGATTACTGTACGTTTAAAGTATCAACTGTTACTTTGTTAAAGTTTCAATGCATAGATAACACTTATATTCCATTACTTTGTCTTTCAGTGCATTTTACCTTTAAACAATACCTTCTCTCTTCTTCCTAATTGATAGAATTCAGTCTACACCAAAGAAAGAACTAGAAGCAACACACTAGTTTCTGGTGTCCAATCAAAGTACCCAGCACAGTCCTACAGGAGGTCAATCGCAAGATTGAATAGCTCATTGGTAACGTCTCTGACTGACTACAGCACTGGGTGACGCAGGTTCGAATCTGAGAAGGGGGATGAGTTCCTTCAAGTTTCTACATACGCCTTGCTGACCGATGAGAGCTAAACAAGTACGAAACCTAGGTCCGAGGCTTCCTGTGGCCGATCGCCTGCAACCGTCTAATATCATCAAATACCTCCTTCCCAGTAGGCCATCAGTAAGCGACTTTATTTGAATCCAACTATTGGTTTCTCTATTCTTTATCCATATCGTTGCAGTTACAATCAACACGATTTAAGCAAGCAAATGCGTAGTTTAGGTAAATTTTCGTCTGGCTTTACAGTTACATAATGAAATATTCGTCATAGACATTTGAAACAAAGGGGTTCAGTGGGATTAAACAGAATTAAGGAGAATGTGAGCAGAATAATAATAACAATAACAAAAAATTGTGAAACAGATCAAAATGTATAACTGTAGCATAGTATGATATTAATAATGAAGTTAGCAGTACAAATGGAAATAAAGATTATAATCATTGTTATCCGGTATCACAAGGATAATTTTTCTAGCTGCAGATTGAGGATATTATGAGGAGGAGGGATTAAAAACACGTTAATTTTTTGGAAACAGAAATTGGGTTAAAATTTTTTTATGGCCACTTCCCCATCCATGCCAAGCAGTCGAATGCGTACAAACTTAAGCAATTGAGGTGACACCTTGTATAACATTGTGAAGACTGGATTTTTATCAGCCTTGTGCTCCGTATCCACTAGGTTTGTCAATATGGAACTTCTGATCGGTTTTATGACTCCTTTACCAAACCACATTGGACAGTGCTCAAGAAGGCGATGGTGGGCTTGGTGAGTCCTCCTCTATATGTAACTGTCTCTACACAAACAGTTAAATAATTTATAAATGCGCACTGAAGTAGCCAGACTCGGCAGTTTATCCTTCACCTGGATTGGAATTGCGCAACGAATAATGAAATACAAACATCGTTTTGTGGCAGAGAATGTTTTAGCTGTTATTTTTCGGTAATTTAGTGGCTGACTACACGTGGTTCTATTGATTCACATTTTCTCATATGCATATAACTGATATTTTATTATGTAATTGTAAACATTGGTGGGAATTTACGACAAATGCGTATTTGCTTACTTAAATCACGTTCTAAAATTATCTCAATGGGGATATCTAAGGTATTCACATTGAATACTGAATACGGAATCGGGTAACCGCTAGTTTATTAGCGAATCAGCTTTCCACAGGGTTCAGGTTAGTTAATTTGATAAAAGTTATCAGAGAAGTATTGATAACATTTTACCAATGAATAGTATCATCTTACCAAATTCACAGTGGACGGAGAGATTGTAATATTTACAGGCAACCATTGATGTGTATTAGTGTTCTTTAAAACAGTTTCAATCGCATGATTCATTGTCTTCATACCTGAAATTTATATTGAAATAAAAGCTGAAGGTAGATAATGTTTAACTTAAGACAACTTTTATTTGCAACAATAAATAATGAACATAACGGAGAAAATTTCAACACTCATAAAGAAGAGGAAATACTTTATAATCTGAAGAGTTGTTTAATAAGAGGGTGTGGTGCCAGTAGTGAGGAGAACAGTATTAGTCAGTGCAAAACTAATTATAGACAATAAGAAATCTGTAAACCATAGATTAATTTCACGGTTTATAAATAATATCATACATTCTGTATTAGGCATCTTTTGTTTGTTGCTTTCTGTAACTTATTATCCCTTCCAGTGCCTTTACCTTCTTCTAAGACTTTTCTACCAACACGTAAGTTATCAACAACAGAAGACAAAGCGCCAGACAATAGATCATTTATTGAGAAAAGCAAGAGATATTTATATATATTTTTGTGTACATTATTATAAGCGTTATTGTTAGCAGAGAAGCAACGTCTTCTGATTGGTTGTTTTTTTGCTGAAGGTTATTCTGTACTGCTTGTAACTGTATCTTAAAAAGTTAAGCCATATATCTGCGAATTGTATTTGTACCCTTTAGGTCTGCTGTGATTGGTCGGTGAGTTCCTGAAGGTTAAGTCTTGTTACTGTTTCTTCTCATGACCCCAATTTGGGACTTGAACATTGACGTAAATTGTTTTCTATTATTTTGGCTTGCAGATAGCTCTCACCACATATCTAATTATTGATAATAGAGAAAGGATAAGCCTAAAGGAGCTGTGACAATTCAACGAGTAAGCCTGTATTTTTTTGGTCAACAAATAGGCAGAAGAAAATGGAAACCGATTGGATATAAATTGAGAAAACCGTTGAGTGAAATCACACTTCAGGCTCTCGAGTGGAACCAAAATTCAGGAGGAGGTCGTGTGTCAGGAGAAAATAGAAGGTGATAAGCAGTCGCGGAGTCAACTGAAAAAGACTGCAAAGAACAAGGTGAAATAGCGATGTGCTTTCGAATCTCGGAACTTAAGGGAATAACAACGATACACTTCTAGCTGTTCCCAAGTTATTTATGTTGCTATATGAGGCTTAAGTTTTATTAGAAGAGATTCTAGTGTAACCCTTCACTTTATAAAGAAATTCCTCCTTTTAGTTCAGGGGTACATTTTCTAGGCAATAAAAGCAGCATTTAAGATAATGAAAACAATGCTATCGAAATTTACTCCCACTAGGCGGGGAAAAAATTCCACTACTTATTGAGAAAGATTTTATTGGTTGGAGGAATTAACCATGAGCTGACATCAGTTAGAGAATCATTGGAGAACCTGGGAGTATTGGACAGCTGTTTCCTCAGCCTACCCTGCGACTCTTCAGCAGTGCGAACCCACCGCCAGAGTTCGAATCCAGGACCTTCTGGTTACCAGGCAAGAGATTTCAGACCCGATTCAATGGCCAGTAACTGAATTCCAACTCCTGACAATTCATGGCATAACGTGACCACTTCGCAATGTCTTCTTAATGAGTTACTGCCTCATCTTCAATCTTCTGTACCCTGCTGGTCACAGCTTCCTACTAGAACCCCAGTAATGTACTGTTTTATGATGTGACCTTGTTTGAGTGAATGAAGGTGATTGTTACCTTGGACTGTATACAGGAATCTCTGGTGTGCGGTTCTTGTTGACAGAGTTTCAATCCCACCTTTTTGGAAATATTCCACTAGATTGTCAGATCTTACTTACAGTTGAGTTTTGGTTAATTAGTTTCGTTCAACAGTATTGATTTGTACTTAGAACGCTCTCTTGACTGTATAGTTGCCTAACTCCACTGTCGAGGTAGTTTTAAGTTCCTGATGTCATTACTGTTGAAACAAACCACATAAATTCTAACTATGAATAATCGTGTTTTTTTTAAGTCTTTGGAATGTTTTGTGACCGTGCGTGTGTCTCAATAAAGTTCCATCAGCTATACAGTAAGACTCAGATATCAGTTTCCTACATTCAGACCACAACGAGTCAGTTTTAGTCGTTACATTCATTGTTATAGTATCGGTGTAATACTTCTGATAATTTTGAAAGTTACAAGAAATATTCCTACAATGTATTCTGATGAATAATATTTCATATTAAGCATACCACTGTTTGGATGAAAGCCTTCTAAGTGTTCAGGATTTATATTACTCCTAATCGTGATGAGACACAATATCGTGAAATCATTCTGTGTGCATTCTGTATAATGTATATTGAAAATACTTTATTTTTTAACTTGAATACTGTTTTAGTACCTTGAATTATTTAAGTTTGCGTGCCTATGAATCGTTTTCAAGGGAACAACAGTCACATGGCAAAACTTTCCATTGTTTTTATTGAGACATGAAATAATGGACAGGTTTTATGTGTTTCTTGCTAGGAATTATGATTTCAAATTATTAATTTACAAACTACGCAATTCGAGGGGAGATTTTACTAAATTTCGGAAACCGATATATCATTAAGACCACACTATCATATATACTGGATATAATGAACAGTAATGAAGAAGGCAAGCATCAATTGAAGATGGTTGGTTAGTTAGTTGATAAAAGTGGCTGAATCCCACTCAAACCAATCAGTAGTTCATTCAGGTAGACAGATAGGATTTAGGTGCCTTGAACTGATTTACCTCTCCAGGATGATTCAGAACTGGGTACACCTGCTGATGAACCTAATCCTAAAAGAGCGAAATAGCTATCCGGTGTTCACATCACTTCTGTCCGGTTAGCAAGCACTACTTGTATCAGCCAGTCAGTAGTATACGCTATTCTAGTCTCACTTGACTTGGAAATGGTAAATGATTATTTCATTATTATGGAAAAATAAGTGTGACAAGATGAATAATACTGTCCTTTTCAAAACTAAATGCTTTAATGTTGAAATGTATATCTTATAAACTGACCAACAGTCAATCACATGCAGAATTGAATTTTCTTGTCAATAGATTGTGAGCTGAAACTTTAAGAGAGCCAATCAGGGAAAAAGTTTGTTTGGTTAGTGGTTTGTACTCATCACTCATCAACAGTTTTGAGGAAATTTACATTTCCTTTCACTGATTTACTTGTTATTTACTCTTAGTTTTAAAATTTTTCTATGTTGACCGTGAGAAGGTCCTGGTTTTGAACCCTGGCACTGGGTGCGTACTGTCACTGAGTCCCAAACAGGGACGAAACAACTGTGTAGTACTCCCTACTTGTTTAAAGTCATTCTCTAGCTGATATCATCTGTGGTGAAAGCTTGAAACAAATCAAGTCCTTAAAAACTAACTCTTGAACATTTAAAAGGGTTGTGTAACAGCGCGAAGCAGATAGTTAATTAGTTTAAGCATGTTGAGAAGAAATATTTTGATATGAAAGAACTGCTCATCTATAGTAAAATCTCCTGTCATATACACTTTTGTTCGATAAAAGAAAGTTAGCCGAAATAAACAGAAAGAAGCAGTATATTTCAATAATTTTAACTGTCAAATTGTGAGATGAACTCTTTATTTCATACTTTCAGGAAGTTAATAAGTCATGATGCTTCAACGGTGGTTCATTCAAATGAAAATCCGGATCTCTGTAGAGATTAAAGCATCGGCCTCCGGGCTAGTTGCTCAACTGTCTGCCAGTTGAGCTAGAAGACTCAGCTGCTAAGTCAGTCATCATTTTGCAGAAATCATACTGAATTTGAATGGGGGAAGCAGGGTGTTAATTGATGGTGAGGTCATCTAAGATAGTCTTGGGTTGCCGGTAATTTGGTGTAAGCAACAGGTATGAACCCTGTCGCAAATCAGATTTTCATTCTACTCTCAAACTTCATTCATTACATGGATTGTATTTTCATTGGTGATGACTAGCAATGGAGTCATCAGTGATGCTCACTTCACCCCGCTGGGAACTCATCACTTGGATGTACCTGCAGTCTTCAGTGTTCTCACAGAAACTCGAACGCAGCATCCATCGTTTCAAACGCCAAACTATTATCCGAGGAGCCATTGGACCACAAGAATTACTTCTTATACAACGGGTGTCAGTTACTATTCGTTTTTGGGAAAATTTGCATTTCCCATGAGTCGATTATGTCGTACTGAAATGCTCGGTGTCTGCTTATCCTGGATTCCACTCCTAATCACTATCGATCGAAACAACATTAATTAATCTCAAATGCGAATTGACCTAAAGGCACATGAAGGGTAGACCGTTAACCCAATCTCCCCTTAGACATATTCCCACTTTAATTTTTCGAAAAATTACCAAAATCAAATGCAGCTTACCGAGTTTAGTGTCAATAGATGTAAATCCAGCGTAAAGACACTTTAGTTTTCTGTGTGGTTCGTTGTTTAACGGAGACATGTCAAGGATAATCTAAAAGGAAAAAAAAACGAAACAAAAATAAATTCTGATTTACGGAATTTACGTATTAGATTATAGGAAATGTTAAAAAGACGATTGGAGTGAAGGATACTTTCTTTTTGACGAAGTCGTCAACTAGACTGTACATTTGCAGTAAATGGGTAGAAAATTTCCAGAACTACTTTAGGTCAAAGGTCAAACTGACAAGATTGCAAATAGTAATTAAAATGCGGTAGTGACAAAATAATCAGGAAGATCGATTTAAGACCAGTACTAACATAGTTGTCGAGACAATTGATCTTTTTAAATGTAATTAGATATTAAAAATGTAGTATTAAAATAGACAGGAAGTTTAAATAAAAAAGGTAATAGGATAAACATAATTCAGAGAACTAACTATTTATGATGGCCATAGTAGAGACAAAGGTTGGAGGTATTTCTTATGGATAAACAGCACGGATCGTTATGCCAAGATGCCTTGATCTTACTCCATTTGAAAGATCTGATCACATCTTGTATATGACTTTGAAGGATTTTTTAGATGGAGCTGGATACCCTAAGTTCACCAAATGTTATGTTACAGAACTATATACACACCTGCTTTTTCTCTTCATTAACTAGGCTGGATAGTTTTCTTGAGCACGTTTTACAAGCGGACACATGGTGCGGCCTATGCACTCAGCTGCACAAGAGGAAGTGGACTGGTACATCAATGCTGAAGTGACCTGAAGCGACAGCTTGTCGTGCTGGCTAAATAGTTTCCCGCATGAAAATATCGCTTGTAGGCTGGCAGAGAAGTGTGTTTTGCTGAGAGATTTCGAAAGCTATCTACGTGGAACTTCTACTTCATTATTACTTTGGAGTCCTAATTTAAGCATAAGTATCTTTTTGACGACTAATTGGATCTGTTCAGAAGCTTTCTTGTGTTTCAGTTTCTTGTCTATGAATCTGGGTGGGAAACCATTCTCCATCAAGATCCCTCGGTGCCTAGTTTCCGAATCCTCGAGGAAAGATAATAGATGAGATTTCTCTATTCTTTCTTTATTCCTTTACGTTCCCAGTGAAACATAGGGTTTCATGCTAGACACTTAAAGTTTATGTAGCAGTGGGGATTATTTTTGTACAGGATGGGGTTGCTAGCCTCGTGCCCAATTTCCCCTCTTTACCAGTCTTACTACTGGCTTAACGAGGTGAAGGAGTGCATCGGTGTCCGGGAGTCGAGCCCCTGACCACACGCGAGCATTCTAACGCTGTGCCACCGACGCCTTTTCTGCTTACATTACATATGCGTTTTTTTAAATGAATGTCATCTGCGAGTTATCAACGTTTCTTCTCGTTCGCACATCGAGGAAATGGAACATGGCGTTTGCGTGGGTTTTAACTTAAATTAAATTTAAATTTAGCAAATAGCGTATTTTCAAAAAATCTTCATGAAGTATTTGGCTTGTTTCATGTACATTTAAAATATACTTTTACAAACCTTTTCTGTGTTAGGTAATTGTTCACGATAACTTAGTTCCAGAATTGACAAATACTAATTGATTGAACTTGTTAAACACGGACCATTGCATTTTATCCTGTAAATTATACTGCAGCATATTTTTTACTTGGCCAGCTCACCTTGGCTTCACTTCTTACTAAGGGTTATACTTATGTGCTACTGAGAAATTAAGAATTATCATAAAACTTGTATGATGAGTCGGTGATTCAATGCTCAAGTGCTGGCCAACTATGTACGGGGCTTGGGGTTCGATTCCCAGCAGATACACTCCTAAAGCTCGCCAATAGGAAGCCTAGGAAAGTGGGAAGGTTGGACATGAGGCTAGCAAATCTACTCCTTGAATACACTATCGTTGCTGAAACTTCAGAGTATTAGGCCCTAAGTTTCCTTTGGGACAGAGAGAGAGAAAAAGCAGAACCCTACTTCTATTCGATTCACCCTCTAATTTTCCTGAAGGATAACATGATTTCATGACTAAAGCATCTTACTTCACTGTAATGCATGTAGTGTTTTTTTTCGCCTTAGTACTTATTCATTCTGCGTGTAACTAATCATGTGCAGCGGTGACTTAGTGGTAGAGTGCTCGACAAGTACTCTGGTAGTCCGGGGTTCGATTCCCGGCTGATGGACTTCTAAACATCAAGTGGAAGGTACTAAGCCCGGTAGGGAGGAAACAATAATAATAGCTTCCTCCTAAAGAGTACTTTTGGAACAAAGTTGGAATTTTCAGCATGTTATATAATACTGCGTCTAATTTTCTATTTACAGGCGAAATAATTAAAGTAGGGCATTTACATTATTAGTAATTCACATTAATATTATTGTTCGCTAAAGTAAAAATAAAAATAAAATTAAATCAAGTGAAATTATTAACAACAATATAACAGTGAAAGAAAGAGTAAAGACGGCCGTTTAATTAGAGCTTCTCAAGTGAGTTGACAGTTTCCCGCTCAACACTTTTCTAATCACATAAAATGTGTGCTTGCCTAGTGAGGTATTGAAGAGATTTTATCTTAATTCGTCTGAGCATACAGTCTTCCATAGATACTCCTACTTTCCCTACCTGATGAGATGCAGGAAGACAGCTGTGTACCAACAGGATGCTAAGAGTCTGACAAGATAATGTTCGCTAATTTCTTGAAGGAATTCATGCGTCTATCTACAGCAGTACTAACAAATCAGTTAGGTGACATCCCACTCACCCTACTGATGGCTTTTACAGCAGTTCGCAGTATAAAAAAGTTTTTCTTAAGTAGCCCGGGAAAGATTAAAACGGTGAAAGCAGTAAAGAAGTACGGGGAAAATACAAGAATTAACAAACTGTAACAGTAGAGACGGAATGACACCAGATTTGCTTAACTTCCTTATGTAGAACGTCAAATGAAATATCTTTCTGAAAAATGAGATGACTTTGGTAGACCAGGAAAGGTGATCAGAGAAAATAGACAGGCTGAGGTATTTGAGATTAGATTCAGTTTGAGTTTCTGTGTCACCCATGACAGTGGGTCCGTGCGAATTGACCAATTCACGTAAGTTACGTTTGCATCTGAAGGTGAAATTAACCACCTGATATTCAGAGGGATTTAGCTTAAGACCATTTGACTAGGACCACTGACTAATCAGGAACCGATTGTGAAACAAATAGGCAGAAAGAAATGGAGATGGATTGGCCATACGCTGAGGAAACCATCAAGTGACATCACTAGACAAGCCGTCGAGTGGAACCCGAAAGGGAGGCGGCGAGTTGGTCGTCCAAGGGTGACTTGGAGGAGGTCATGCGAGGAGGAGATGAAAGCATGTGGACAGACCTGGAGCGGGGTGAAAAAGTTGTCAGAAAACCGAAGGCAATGGAGGTGCGCAGCTGAAGCCCTATGTTCCTCTAGGAACTAAAGGATACAATAATAATAATAATACTGACTAATTTCTGATAAAAATTTATTCATTTTGGAACTGTCAAATTGCGAAGTAAGAGGCATAGAAACAGTCAGATCATCGTCATACCTAACAAAATTTGCTTCGTCAGAATGGGCCAAGTCATATAAGAAGAAGAGAAACAAAAAAGGAGAGACAACAGCTCCCTTAGTGCGTGAGTTAGCTTGGCCACTCCATAGGGACATAACACTACCGTTATGCAGACATCGAAATTCAAATTTGAAGCTTTATATTCCACTCGAATATGCGAACGAAATGAAAAACAAAAATAATTAATCATATTATTTTTAGTCTTCACATTCGCTGATGCTTCATTTATTTCCTCAGGGGATTTAATTGCATAAAATATTAATTTTAATTTTGACTTTTTTATGACTTTAAATTTTAATAAAATTTTCAAAAATTTAATTTCCTTAAAGCGAGAAGAAATAAAACAAATGAAAGTGTTTTGTTTCCTACATATTTAAGAATTGCTATTCATTTTGTTTTAATCTTAGCACGTACAGAATTTTTCTATTGTTCAATGTTCAATGAAAAGTTGATTGTTAAATTTATCAATGTAATTCATTTCTTTCAAAACTACTGTAATACATTTTTCCTTGAGTATCACTTTTAAATTCTAGATTAAGCATAAGTATCTTTTCGACGACAACTGATACCTATTCAGAAGATTTCTTTGGTTTCAGTTTCTTGTCTATGAATCTGGGAAACCATTTTCCTTCAGGATCTCTCGGTATATATTTTCCGAATCCTCGAGGAAGGAGAATAGATGGGATTTATTTTTCTGCTTTTTTATTCGTTTACGTTCCCAGTAGAACATAGAGCTTCAAGCTAGAGGCTTAAATTTTCGGTAGCAGTGGTGATTATTTTGATGAGATGGGTTTGTTAGCCCCATGATCAACCTTCCCTCTTTATCAGTCTTATTACTGGCTTAGCGAGGTGAAGGAGTGCGTCGATGGCCGGGAATCGAACCACAAGCCACATGAGTGGTCGGCAAGCAATTATTCGGAACAGGTGTTATAAGCGCATCAACCTTAATACCCCCAAATGTCAGGCTGTTAATTTAACTTTCAGATGCAAGAGCAACTTACGTGAACTGGTTAATTATCACGGTCCTATTATCATAGATGACGCAGAAATTGGAACAGAATCTGATATTAAATCCCTTGGAATGTGTATTTCCTCTGATTACCTTTCCTGGTCTACCAAAGTCATCTCATTTTCAGAAAGATATTTCATCTGAAGTTATGCATAAGGAAGTTAAGCCAATCTGGTATTATTCCGCCTCTTCTGTTACATTTTGTTGGTTCTTCTTTATTGCTCTCGCCACCTCAATCTTTTAGAGGATACTTAAGAATGACTTTTCTTATGCTGCGAAGTGCTCTAAAAACCATCAGTAGGGTGAGTGGGGTGTCAGATATGGAAACCTGAGCTTTGTATACAAGAGAAAATTATTCAACTACTTCTGTCGTCAGGGTGATAACCTTGTTGTTTTTCACTAACTTGATTTGGTGTTTTCCTTTTTTTTTTAGCTCTTTGCAGCTCATACGTAACTCTAATACCCCCATACAACTTCTCT